AGAAGACATATCCTGAAGCTGGTAGACCTGATTTATTCAAGTTGTTTTGCAAGTTTGATGTGATGTTGTTTGATTCCAAATTGAGACCTGTGGGTTTCACGTTTGCGTACACCGATCTCAGAAAATGGAGCGGTGTTACGGACACGAGAATCCACAGAGTGTCAATAAGCCTCAAGCACCACTATATAGAAGAGAAGAAAAAATGGAATGTGAGGAGGATCAAGGAAACTTTATTGCATGAAATGATCCACATTTTGGTATATGCCACACATCCATCAAATGTGGACAATTACCATCAACATGGGGATCATTTCATGCAATATTTGTATGACATTAATCTAAAATTAAAAAAAAAGAAGATGCGCTTGAAAGTGACTGTCGTACAAGCTATTGAGACTGCCTTGTTCAACGAAATACATAAATATAGATGGCTCTGCACCAATTGCAACTATGAAGTTAGATTGACCAAACCTAAACCCCCAGATTTCTTAAGGGGGAAACATGACAATTGACAATTGACAACGGAAACATCTTTATGTAAAATTTGGTATAAAAGTATTCGGGAGTTTAGACATTTGATAAATTAGACATTCAGGATAGGGCCTTTCGGGAAAATGACAGGAAACGATGTTACTTATCATATATAACACTTACTGATTTTTAAAATTTAAGATTTATTTAATTTTTAATAACATTTAAGAAGTTAATTAACAGTTTAAAAACTTATTTATTATTTAATTTAAAAAAATATTTTAAAAATAAAGAAACTGAAAAGTTTTTATGGTTTTTAGTTAAAACAGGACTATTTTGAAAATTTTGAGCCTATATTATGCGATCATTATACAAAAAAATCTGTCCGCGCAAGCGCGGACACATTCTCGTCCGCGCTTCGCGCGGGGGCTCGCAAGTTTCAGCGCGCCTCGGGGCGCGCGAATATTGATCGTCGCGCTTCGCGCTCCGTGTTTTGTTGCGCGCTTCGCGCGCAAATGGCTCGCTTCGCTCGCGATTGTCAGCAATTATTGTGCATTATTTGTGTTTTTGTTCTTGTTTCTTATTATATGTTTTATAAAACATTTTTTTTCTTAAACTTACTACGACTTTAAGGATTATATTCTCATCACGTGTTTTTGTTTGCTGATAATTGCGAGATTAAGTGGATTTAAATGTATATTTTTAGTCTTGATGATTAAAATTAAGAAGTTATTTTTAATTATACTAACTCTCTTAGCAGAAACATGATTTACAGAAGCAGCTAAAATATTCTTAAAGCGTTTGTCTCCTCCCAGATAGCACAACGATTTTCCACAAGTTTGCAGCAAATTTTCATTGCAAACTTCGAAAATTTGCATGGCAAGTTTGCAGCAAATTTATGGTAAATTGGTAAATGTCCGCCTTGTGTAAAGTTTGCGGAGCAAACTTGCAGAAAACTTGCGTGGCAAGGTAATTTAAGATGTCTGCGCAGTAGTTTTCTATGATATATAGAGCTACAAGTTTTCACAGAAAACTTGCAGAAAAGTTGTAACAAACTTGCAGCAAACTTTCTGAAAACTTTAAAAATTTTCAAAAAAAATGAAAGAATGTTGTAGAGAAAAATTGTTTGTATTTTTCTAATCTAAAGTAAAATAAAATTAAAAATGTTGAAATTTGAAAAAATTGAATTTTCAAAATTTTGAAACTACTGTAGTTTGTGTAGTTTTCGACGAAAATGGCTAGCTAACGAACTTGATCTGTATTTTAACACTAACTTTGTGCATGCAAAGTTGCAAGTAGTTGCAATAAGTTTTTCAAGAGTTATTGTAGGGACACCATTGTGTCTACAGACACGAAGACAGACATACAGACAGACACTTTTTTTAGACTATGTTTTTCGGACTCAGGGGACCCCACAACGTTGAGATTTCATGAAATTAGCGAAAGTCAATTTTCTACAAAAACTAATACTTTCTCATGTGATGAGAATGTAAAAATATTTCGTTGTGGAATGAACTTACTTAGCAGAGACTACTTACGTATCAGAAACGACATACATCTTTTAAACCATTAAATTATTTACTTGTCTTAAAGTTACTACGACTTTAAGGTTTACATTCTCATCAAATATAATCAAAAATTTTTAAATTATTATTTACTTTGTGCTTATTAAGTAGAAAATTAATTATTATTGTTTATATTATCAAAATTTTAATATTTTTTGCAAGAACTGAATTATTTTTATATAAATAATAATCCAAAATTTTAATAAAATTTCACGAAAGAATTAAATTATTTTTTAAATAGTAAAATTTTGCACAAGAATTTAAATATTTTTACAAATAGGTATAGTAAAATTCTTTGCAGGAATTCAATTATTTTTAAAACAATTTTAATTGAATTACTCGGCAGAATTAAAATATTTTTAATTATGTCCTAAAATTTTAATAAACTTTTCGTAACAATTCAACTCTTTTAATAAATACTAAAAATTCTTTGCAGGAATTAAATTATCTTTAATCCAATTTAAATAAAATTTCACGAGAGAATTGAATTATTTTCAAGAATTTCAATAAAATTCAATTTCAACATGAATTTAAAATTCTCTAAAAATAATTCAATTATTCTCAAAATATTTTTTAAAAATTCTATATGAAAATTTAATTAATTACTTTCAAAAAATAATAAAATTATTCTCATAAATATAATTATTTTGAATATTCTTAAGGGGAGGGTACACCTATATTTTCAACTATATTAAAGAAATAATTTAAATATTCAACAAAATTATTTTTAAAGTAATTTTTGTGAGGAATTTAATGGTCATAAAATAAAATCGGTCAAAAATATTTTGACCCTTTTTGAATTTTTATTTTTCTTAAAAATTAATGGATTTTAAAATCCATCCGTAATTTTGTAGAAAATATGTTTTTGAATCCACGAAAAAATTTTGAAATAAAAAAATTGATTTTCATAATTTGTATAGCATTTTTTTGAAAAAAAATATCTGTTTTTCGGCTAAAAAATACAATTATTCTTCTTTTTTTAAAATGAAAATTCATTATTATATTTACCAAAAAAAATGAGAAAATAGCGTCGGTTTGAATTTTCTTAACCCTGTTTTCACCCCTAAAACGGTAAAAAAATGGAGTTAAAAATGTATGTAGAATGTTGGTTGTGGTTTATTCTATAGCCACTGACATATATTTTAAGAAAATTTTTTGTTTCCTACATTTTGAAGCAGAGATATCGTGTCAATCATTTTTTCCGGACAATCACTTCAGCCATCATTTTGTCGCCATGAAGGGCAGAATAAATAAAAAAAATATTTTTTTCTTGAGGTAGTACGCTCGCGACAGTCACTCTCAAAAGTAAATTTTAATAAAATGCTATAGTATGGTGCAGTTACTGTAGCATATTTTTGCTTAGACTGTACTGAATACATAGTCAGCCCTATGTACAGACACACTCAGACACAAGTATACTAGTCAGGTTAGAATATTATATTATATTATATCTTTCAATTGAAACGGTTAATATTGTTAAATCTTTTTGTTCTAAATTTTTCAAATATTCATTTATAATATATGTGTTTTTGAAAACAATCTATAGAAAATTTTAGAAGCGTTATTAGAAGAAATGTGCCATTTATATGCACTCTTTATAGGTTAACCATGTTAAATGACAAACTTTTAACTTAAATACTTTGAAGAACGAACAATAATTGGTAAAATAAAAAATAGGACATTTAAGTTTTCAGTAAATTGTGAATTATGTGAAATAGCAGTTAATATTAGTGAATATTATTGAGATTTTTAGAAAAAATAAATATATGTCAAACGCCCATTCATTAAAATAAATTCTAGGTAAAGACGAAAAAAGTACTGGATTTCCAATACTCAAACCAGTACTCACTCCAGTACTTTTTCCAATACTCATTCCAGTACTCTTCCCAATACTCAATCCAGTACTCTTTTTTCATAATGGACTTACAACAAACCTAATACGAAAATGTGATCCAGGCATAACCTAAAAATCTAAATTTATCAATCAACTTAAAAACATTATTTATTTTATTCAAATTACTTTTAAGTATTTTATACCAATTTAATTTTTATTTTATATACAATTTTATTGAAATTATTGTTTTTTCAGTGGTATGGAAACATAGGTTTTTCATTTACAAAAATATTTAGTTATTTATTTATTTATTCTAACGAAATTATATTGTTATGAAATTATTTATTTTATTTACTAATATTATGAAATGTTAATTATTTCATTAATTATTATCAATTTTAATTTATTTTGTTTTTATTTTAAAACAGATAAGTGCGCGCATGCGTTTAAATGTAGAGAAAATTCTCCGGAAGGAGAATATTCTCGAGAATATAACCGGATTTTAAATTACCGAGAATTATGCATCTTTAACGTAAACAGCCTGGTTGATGGCAGTGTTGGAAAGTGACGCGTCACTCGAGGTTTTTGACGTAAAATACTTGGTTTTTTACATAGGTAAAATACGTATTTTACCCCCCTCCCCCAAAAAATACATTGTGTATAAAACTTTTGAAGTAAAATACGAGGTATTTTACTGTAAAAATCCATGTAATTTACCTGAGGTATTTTACGCGCCCAACCCAGGTTGATGGTAAGAAGACTATATACAGGAGGGGTATCAAGAGAAGTTGAATAGGTGTAAAGCCCTGAGCAGAATAAAACGGGAACGGAACGCAAGCATGAGATAGAAAAAGATAGAAGTAGGTTTGTCCTTTTCTATCACATGCTTACGTTCACGTTACTGTTTTATTCTGCGTTATGCTGATTCCACACTTACCCAGTCGCTCCGCTTTTCCGTGGCACTGGGTAAGTGTGGAATCAGCATAAGAGATGGGATCAGGGTTGGCGTACTCACTACTTTCTATACATTTGGAACGAAGTTTGCTCTCCTCTATAGTCTTCTTGGTTTATGGTTACGAACAAGCGGTTGAGTTTATGTTTCATCGATCTTTATCTTCTGAGCTAGCAGAATGGCTTCATCGTCGAATAATCCTCCAGTAAGTTAAAAAAATTACAATTATTTTATTGAGAATTATTGTTTAAATTTAGTTTTATTTTGTTCATAAATATCTGTTTTTTTATTTGCGAATCTTTAAAGCAAAATATAAATATTCTTAAAATATGTGTAAAGACATACTTTAGATCAAGTAAAAAAATTCGAAGTGGCTATTTCGCCCATTAAGGGGCGAAATGAGAGAAACAGTGTACTTCGCCCGTCAGTGAAAATACATAGTAAAAAAGACGGGCAAAATAATAGAAATAGTTTATTTCGCCCGTCAGTGAAAATATATGATTACTAATTGAAAAAAATATTTGTAAATTTTTCTCTGCTATTATTTAAAAGAGAAAGGAGTCGTTTACCTTTGGTTGGAAATTTATTTTTTTTATTTTATCAAAATTTAATTGATTGAAGAGATGATTGTGATATTTTTTGTTAATTATTTAAATCTAAATAAACCAAGATGGATGATTCCTTCCTTCTTCAAATAAAAGCAGAGAAAAATTTACAAATATTTGCAAATACAAAAAATTACGATTAATGAAATGTAACGAGTTCAACGTTTGCACTGACGGGCGAAATAAAAAATTTCTTTTATTTCGCCCGTCTTTTTTCCCATGCATTTTCACTGACGGGCGAACTAAACTATTTCTTTTATTTTGCTTGTTGACAGGCGAAATAGCCACCTAAAAAAATTATATTACATTTTGAGCACCTTCATTTTTAATCACAGAAATGTTCTATTTATTCCTTAAAGTTTCATGGATACTTCTTAAGGAAAAATTATTTTGTTGATCCAGTAATATGTATTTTGAAATTTTCTTCTTTTTAATCTTGAATTAATTTATGATTCGTTGATTTTTTAGTATAGTTTTAATAGATACATTAAATTTATTTCTTACACATATCAAATTTAGAATATATTGTTTATATATTAATATTAACTGTATATCAAATACGACACACCGTGTAATAAAAAAATAAAATTAATAGCAGACTTCGAACTTATTTACTAAAACTTACTATTTACTACTTTTTTTTACGTTATGCTTCTATTTGGGTACCTCTTTTAGATTTCAGCCACTAAATGTTACTATTTCTGTTTTTTTAAATATTTACACTACTTTAAATTTGCTAATATTAGAAATCAAAAAATGATAATCAAAATCTTTAAAACGATTAAATTATTTTCAAAAAATATTTTCTAAATTCAATTATTTTTAATATCTAGTATTTTTATAAAATATCGTAAAAGAATTCAATTAATTAAAAAATATTGACGAAATTCATTTAAAATTGAATTATTTTCATAAATAATAAAATTTCTATAGGAATTCAATTAATTTAGAATAGCATTTTCGAAAAAATAAATTATTTAACAAAAGTTTTATTCAATTCTTCACAATAATTTTATTACTTTCACTAAATACATTTTTCATAGAAGTTTAATTTAAAAAAGAAATTTCAATTATTTTAAATACTATTTTAAATTAGTTAATCGAAAAATTCAATTATTTTCACAAATAACGTTTTCCACAAAAGTTCAATTATTTAAATAAACAATTTTCGTATTTATTCTATTTCGAAAAAATTAATTATTTAAAACAGTTGTTTATAAAATTTTTCTGAAGAATTCGATTAGTTTCGAAAATAACAAAATTTTTCACAAAAATTCAATTCTTTTTAAATATTTTAATAAAAATTTTCGTAATAATTGAATTATTTTAATAAATAATAAAATTCTTCTTAGAAATTCAATTCTTTTTAAAACTCTTTTGGAAGAATTCAATTGTTTAGAGAAATTTTATGATTTTTTATATCAATTTAATTATTTTCAAATATTTTAATAAAGTTGTTTGAAAAAAATCAATTATTTTAAATACAATTTTAATTATTAAATTGTTTGAAATAATTTAATTATTCTTTTAGATTTAAATAATATTATTCCCGAAAATTCAATTATTTTGTGGTATTTTAAAATAATTCTTTGCAAAATTCAATTATTTTAATAAATAATAATATTCATCATAAGAATTCAATTATTTTTAAAAGTAATAATTTTATTCTTTAAAATTTAACTGTTTTAAGAAATTCTAATTAAATCGTTTTCAAGACATCCGAACTGGGCTAGTTTACCTTTTTCTGAAAACTTTATCACCATTTTATTTATAAGCAAGGTATTCAATGTTTAAAAGTTTGATATAAATTAGTTAAAGAAAGAAATGTTCTGAATCAGGATCAGAGTAAAAATATTATTTTTGAATATTTGTAGTATTATTTGTTAAATTTTCCAATTTTGTATTGCATTTACTGATTTCTTTTTTATTATGTTATCGGTAAAACTGCCCGGTGGGTAAACTGGTCAGGTGTCAATATCTCCGAAATGGCGAAATTATCAAAAGTGCTATTTAGAAATTTGAAACAACCATGTGTAGTATACCTTATTTTCCAATTTGACATTTTTTTTACTATTGTTTGTGCAACGCTGGGAACAAATGTTTTTTTTGTTTTTTTCTATACTTTTACGAATTTTCTTAAGGAAATTTTGACACACCTCAGGAATATTTTCCACCAAAAAATTTGATAAATTTGCAAAGCGTTTTTTTAAACAAATATTAATTCTCAAAATGGACCTGTGGGGCAAACCGGCCATAGGATATTTGCACTGTATCAGATTTTCACGAAAATTATTATTAATTAGAATGTTTTTTTCATTAAAATATTTACTGTCAATGAAAAATAATTATCTTCCAATAAGAGTATAGACCCTTTAATATTGTTTCCCTGATATTTTCAAACATTTTTGTTTTGTTATTAAAAAAAATTATTTATTTAATTAAAATATAATCCTATATTATTATTTACATTATTACAACTATTGTTCACATGATTCTTTATGTTTTCTGTTATTGTAGATTATACAAACGCAATATTATAGATAAAATATCCGGTTTGCCCCAAGTGTTTGGTTCGTTTAAATAAAAACATTTTCTGAGTGTTAAAGCTTCTAAATAAGTTTTTTAATTTTTTTTATTAATTAAACATTCTCTTTTGTAAAAAAATAATTTAATTAAAAAAAACAAAAAAGGATAGACATTTGATATTTATATTGTTGTTAGACGGAGAAATATTATTTTAAAACTATTTTTAATAAAAATTTCTTTAATTAGAATGTTTCTGATAGTGGACTTTCCTTTGGGGATTTTGTACATCCTATAGTAGAAGATACGGAGGAAATTACTTATGTAATTGAAGAAATAGTAAGAATACTTATTATTATATCTTTATATACTATGTTTTGTTTAAATTTTGAGTATTAAGAGATTTAAAGAATATGAACTTTTTTTATTTTCGAAGTATAATCAATCAATAAAATTTTTTTAGAAAATAGTTTTGTGAAATTCGTACAAAAATTTATTTGACACATATTTGGATGTTTATATCTGTTTAAAGGATGTCCAAAATATATCTTACATCCTAAATATTGTGAGAACATAAAAAGTCTTTTGGATGTCTTTCGAATGAACATAGACGTCCTAAAGGAATCTTATGCCCCAGTGCTCACAGGGTCAAAAATGGTTTTACGTATATTATTGGAAGATAATTATGGGAATGTTACAAGAACATAAATTTTTTGATATTTAGATAAATTAGTATGTAATTTTCGATAAATATATTTAAATTTAATATTCTTTTTTAAAGACTAGCTCCTCCGACGGCCGCAAGCGGCCGTCTACGGTGCTAGTTTTTATATGTCCATTGTCCAAGTCCATTATTTCATTAATAATAATATTCAAATTTTTTCAGTTAATAATTTGCTTATTTATATTTTAAATATTGACGTTTTTTTGACAATGCAAAATAAGATTTGTTATGTGTACTTTCTCCTCACAAAAATAAAATTTATATATTCGCGCTCTTTTTAAATAACATACGAGTGCAGCGCCACCTTCACATGTACAAACAATTTTAAAAACACCCTTCTATTAAGATTTTACATTCTCATTGCCCATTCTTTACTTCGATACTTTTCGATACATTCGACCTTTCCACTCCATGTCTTTTTTAAGAAAGGATAACATATTATTAATAATATAGATCTATGGAATGATCTTGATAACGTCCTTCTTTATTAATTATTTAAAATATTGGAAAAAACGATCTCCAAAAGGATATGTTAATTAAATTAGTTCTGAAACGTCAAATTGAGAAGAAAAATTTTTTAATTGACATGTCCTTTTGAAGATCGTTTTTTCCAATTTTTTAACATATTATTACATTATTTTTATTTATTTACTTAATTAAGATAAAAAGCAAAAAGTTTATTTTTGAAGTAGTTACATTTTAAATATTTAAACAATTCTTTTTGTAGGGTGAAAATGTACCAGAAGAAGATTCAGTAGTTTCTAGGAACGGAACACAGGTGATAAGCTTATTTTTTAAGTATATATATGTAGTTTATTTACTCTCCTTGTAAACACATGGTTTCCATTCACTCTTTTAGTCTATGCTCTTTCTCTCAAAAACCATGTAATTCTTCTTTCTTTCCAATTTCTATCCTCATCTATTCTTCTCACATTTCCTTTTACTTTCATCACATCCATTTTCTCATCCTCATTGCCCGACTCCACCAACTATAATTTTGGTGTACCATTCTTGTCCATTCCTGTTGCATTTTAATATTTTATGAATTTTTTTTAGTCTCAAGAGGGAAATTCGTCTGAATATCAAAATGGAGGGACAGGAAATTTTAACTTAGCAAATGTAGCAGCTGCAATGCCTGTCTTACAGCCTCCTCCAGGGTTATTTCAGAGTTCAACTGTCCCTGTTTTTCCAGTCCCGTTTCTTCGACCACCTATACTTGGTCAGGTAATGTTAATTGTAATTGACGGGTTGGATGTTATAAAAGGATATGTGCCGTATTAAGTGAATGGCGTATATATTATATCATTTAGTCCCTCAATTATGTTTTTTTAATTATTTAATATTTTTTGTTATATTTTAAATGTTTGTTTCTGAAAAATGATGGTGTTTTTTCCTATTAGTAAGAATTTGGGTCGAATTTATGTGAATTAATATAATTAAAACATTAGATGTTTAGGAAAATTATTATATTAAAAAATTAATAGAATTCTTACAAAAATTTTAAGATTCTAGTTTTTATATAGTTAATTTTATTTGTTTTTATACAAATTGTTCTTAATATTGTGAACCATAGTATACAGTGCTTTTGTTTTAGTTAAATTACAGTGGAACCTCGATTATCCGAACCGAAAATCATTTTATCCGAATTTTTTTTGGCCTCCCGAATCTTTCAAAGGAAAGTATTTAAATTTTTTCCAAACTAATTCTGAATTCTCTGTTTTATCAATATTATTATTATGAATTAATATATATTTACGTACATATAGTTATGTATATATAAAAAAATGTATTAAATTAAATATATATAATTCAACTGTCTAATTTTTATAGGTTTAATTATGAAAAAATTAAAATCTCTATTATCCGAACTCTCGATTATTCGAACCCGTCCTTGCCTAGGTTAGATCTGATAATCGAGGTTCCACTGTATATTAAATGTGTAGAAATTCTTTTCTTTATTGTAGTCTTTCTAATGTTATTGAGCTTTCTTGTGTGGTAAATATTTTCTACTATTAAATGAAAAAGCATTGCTTTATTTTAAATATAATTACATTATGTAATACACAATCGCATAATATATATATTTTTTTAAATTAACACAAATATTTTACTTATTAATATTAGAGTAGTTATATTTTCGTTTGTTTTATTTATAATAAAGTGCGATATAATAAATGCTTTTTGGATACTTTTTGTTTTTCTTTCACACGGTACAAAAATTTTTTGTGAGGGTTTTCATGATATGCATACGAAAATTCATATCTTCTTCAACAATTTCCAATTTCGACTTTTTGAAAGAATCTATTTTTCGATGAGTTATCTTTGCTTGAATTTCGCACGCAGCGTGAAATGAGATAATAGTGAGAGAAAATATAAATGCATTAAATCTCAAGCAGAAATCAATGATTCATTAAAGATTCTATGAGATTCTTAGACAAATTAAAAATAAATTGACTGCTAACTGTGTAACAATACTTTTTAAATAAATTGTTGTATTTTGTTTATAATAAATAAATTATGTCCAAGATGGTAATTTTAGTACAGTGAATATATTTTTACAACTGCATTCTATGATTTTGCTAATTTTAATCAGTCTGAACCCACCTAATTTGTATATAAATGTTATAAGTAAAAGAGAAATGTTGCGACGCGAATTTCAAATAAGAATAACATAAAAAATAGATATTTTTAAAAGGTTGAAATTGATAATTACTGAGGAGGAAGTGAGCTTTAGTATGCATATAATGAAAACCGAAAAAAAATTTTTGCATCCTAATAAAAAACCAAAAAGTACTTCAAAAACGGCATTTTTTAAATTTTCAAGGTCAAATGTTTTGGAAATCTAGGGTGATGGAACAATTTTGATAACGAATTTGCTTTAAATATCAAAAAATCTATAAAATCACCCTATACAATCTCAAAAATAAAAATGCTGTTGCACTGTGTAGCAGAATATAACATAGGTTTACAAAATACAATTTTTTCTTTTTTTTATTAGATGTTAGAATAGTTTTCGGTGTATATAATCTGACGTGCTAGAAATTTTTATATCGGTTTAAGTTAAGGCTTAAATTCTGAATGTATAAGATTCTCTTTCGTAAAACTTCATTTTTTCAAAAATTGTGGTTAAAGTTAACGATAAATATTTTTTTGGACTTTTTCAAAAGGTTTTGAAATTAATTTTTTATAATTCAGTCATAAAAATGGCGTTTTTTGTAACTCCGGAAATAAGTAAAAAACTGCCTTTTCTTGAACAGAGCGTCATAAGAGCTCTTGTTCGTACGGAGTGCAAATAAGACTATTCCAGAGTACGAAAAAGAAAACCCAAGTGAAAAGGACAGAATGAGTTGACGTTTCTCAAAATGGACCTGTGGGGCAAACCGGCCATAGGATATTTGCACTGTATCAGATTTTCACGAAAATTATTATTAATTAGAATGTTTTTTTCATTAAAATATTTACTGTCAATGAAAAATAATTATCTTCCAATAAGAGTATAGACCCTTTAATATTGTTTCCCTGATATTTTCAAACATTTTTGTTTTGTTATTAAAAAAAATTATTTATTTAATTAAAATATAATCCTATATTATTATTTACATTATTACAACTATTGTTCACATGATTCTTTATGTTTTCTGTTATTGTAGATTATACAAACGCAATATTATAGATAAAATATCCGGTTTGCCCCAAGTGTTTGGTTCGTTTAAATAAAAACATTTTCTGAGTGTTAAAGCTTCTAAATAAGTTTTTTAATTTTTTTTATTAATTAAACATTCTCTTTTGTAAAAAAATAATTTAATTAAAAAAAACAAAAAAGGATAGACATTTGATATTTATATTGTTGTTAGACGGAGAAATATTATTTTAAAACTATTTTTAATAAAAATTTCTTTAATTAGAATGTTTCTGATAGTGGACTTTCCTTTGGGGATTTTGTACATCCTATAGTAGAAGATACGGAGGAAATTACTTATGTAATTGAAGAAATAGTAAGAATACTTATTATTATATCTTTATATACTATGTTTTGTTTAAATTTTGAGTATTAAGAGATTTAAAGAATATGAACTTTTTTTATTTTCGAAGTATAATCAATCAATAAAATTTTTTTAGAAAATAGTTTTGTGAAATTCGTACAAAAATTTATTTGACACATATTTGGATGTTTATATCTGTTTAAAGGATGTCCAAAATATATCTTACATCCTAAATATTGTGAGAACATAAAAAGTCTTTTGGATGTCTTTCGAATGAACATAGACGTCCTAAAGGAATCTTATGCCCCAGTGCTCACAGGGTCAAAAATGGTTTTACGTATATTATTGGAAGATAATTATGGGAATGTTACAAGAACATAAATTTTTTGATATTTAGATAAATTAGTATGTAATTTTCGATAAATATATTTAAATTTAATATTCTTTTTTAAAGACTAGCTCCTCCGACGGCCGCAAGCGGCCGTCTACGGTGCTAGTTTTTATATGTCCATTGTCCAAGTCCATTATTTCATTAATAATAATATTCAAATTTTTTCAGTTAATAATTTGCTTATTTATATTTTAAATATTGACGTTTTTTTGACAATGCAAAATAAGATTTGTTATGTGTACTTTCTCCTCACAAAAATAAAATTTATATATTCGCGCTCTTTTTAAATAACATACGAGTGCAGCGCCACCTTCACATGTACAAACAATTTTAAAAACACCCTTCTATTAAGATTTTACATTCTCATTGCCCATTCTTTACTTCGATACTTTTCGATACATTCGACCTTTCCACTCCATGTCTTTTTTAAGAAAGGATAACATATTATTAATAATATAGATCTATGGAATGATCTTGATAACGTCCTTCTTTATTAATTATTTAAAATATTGGAAAAAACGATCTCCAAAAGGATATGTTAATTAAATTAGTTCTGAAACGTCAAATTGAGAAGAAAAATTTTTTAATTGACATGTCCTTTTGAAGATCGTTTTTTCCAATTTTTTAACATATTATTACATTATTTTTATTTATTTACTTAATTAAGATAAAAAGCAAAAAGTTTATTTTTGAAGTAGTTACATTTTAAATATTTAAACAATTCTTTTTGTAGGGTGAAAATGTACCAGAAGAAGATTCAGTAGTTTCTAGGAACGGAACACAGGTGATAAGCTTATTTTTTAAGTATATATATGTAGTTTATTTACTCTCCTTGTAAACACATGGTTTCCATTCACTCTTTTAGTCTATGCTCTTTCTCTCAAAAACCATGTAATTCTTCTTTCTTTCCAATTTCTATCCTCATCTATTCTTCTCACATTTCCTTTTACTTTCATCACATCCATTTTCTCATCCTCATTGCCCGACTCCACCAACTATAATTTTGGTGTACCATTCTTGTCCATTCCTGTTGCATTTTAATATTTTATGAATTTTTTTTAGTCTCAAGAGGGAAATTCGTCTGAATATCAAAATGGAGGGACAGGAAATTTTAACTTAGCAAATGTAGCAGCTGCAATGCCTGTCTTACAGCCTCCTCCAGGGTTATTTCAGAGTTCAACTGTCCCTGTTTTTCCAGTCCCGTTTCTTCGACCACCTATACTTGGTCAGGTAATGTTAATTGTAATTGACGGGTTGGATGTTATAAAAGGATATGTGCCGTATTAAGTGAATGGCGTATATATTATATCATTTAGTCCCTCAATTATGTTTTTTTAATTATTTAATATTTTTTGTTATATTTTAAATGTTTGTTTCTGAAAAATGATGGTGTTTTTTCCTATTAGTAAGAATTTGGGTCGAATTTATGTGAATTAATATAATTAAAACATTAGATGTTTAGGAAAATTATTATATTAAAAAATTAATAGAATTCTTACAAAAATTTTAAGATTCTAGTTTTTATATAGTTAATTTTATTTGTTTTTATACAAATTGTTCTTAATATTGTGAACCATAGTATACAGTGCTTTTGTTTTAGTTAAATTACAGTGGAACCTCGATTATCCGAACCGAAAATCATTTTATCCGAATTTTTTTTGGCCTCCCGAATCTTTCAAAGGAAAGTATTTAAATTTTTTCCAAACTAATTCTGAATTCTCTGTTTTATCAATATTATTATTATGAATTAATATATATTTACGTACATATAGTTATGTATATATAAAAAAATGTATTAAATTAAATATATATAATTCAACTGTCTAATTTTTATAGGTTTAATTATGAAAAAATTAAAATCTCTATTATCCGAACTCTCGATTATTCGAACCCGTCCTTGCCTAGGTTAGATCTGATAATCGAGGTTCCACTGTATATTAAATGTGTAGAAATTCTTTTCTTTATTGTAGTCTTTCTAATGTTATTGAGCTTTCTTGTGTGGTAAATATTTTCTACTATTAAATGAAAAAGCATTGCTTTATTTTAAATATAATTACATTATGTAATACACAATCGCATAATATATATATTTTTTTAAATTAACACAAATATTTTACTTATTAATATTAGAGTAGTTATATTTTCGTTTGTTTTATTTATAATAAAGTGCGATATAATAAATGCTTTTTGGATACTTTTTGTTTTTCTTTCACACGGTACAAAAATTTTTTGTGAGGGTTTTCATGATATGCATACGAAAATTCATATCTTCTTCAACAATTTCCAATTTCGACTTTTTGAAAGAATCTATTTTTCGATGAGTTATCTTTGCTTGAATTTCGCACGCAGCGTGAAATGAGATAATAGTGAGAGAAAATATAAATGCATTAAATCTCAAGCAGAAATCAATGATTCATTAAAGATTCTATGAGATTCTTAGACAAATTAAAAATAAATTGACTGCTAACTGTGTAACAATACTTTTTAAATAAATTGTTGTATTTTGTTTATAATAAATAAATTATGTCCAAGATGGTAATTTTAGTACAGTGAATATATTTTTACAACTGCATTCTATGATTTTGCTAATTTTAATCAGTCTGAACCCACCTAATTTGTATATAAATGTTATAAGTAAAAGAGAAATGTTGCGACGCGAATTTCAAATAAGAATAACATAAAAAATAGATATTTTTAAAAGGTTGAAATTGATAATTACTGAGGAGGAAGTGAGCTTTAGTATGCATATAATGAAAACCGAAAAAAAATTTTTGCATCCTAATAAAAAACCAAAAAGTACTTCAAAAACGGCATTTTTTAAATTTTCAAGGTCAAATGTTTTGGAAATCTAGGGTGATGGAACAATTTTGATAACGAATTTGCTTTAAATATCAAAAAATCTATAAAATCACCCTATACAATCTCAAAAATAAAAATGCTGTTGCACTGTGTAGCAGAATATAACATAGGTTTACAAAATACAATTTTTTCTTTTTTTTATTAGATGTTAGAATAGTTTTCGGTGTATATAATCTGACGTGCTAGAAATTTTTATATCGGTTTAAGTTAAGGCTTAAATTCTGAATGTATAAGATTCTCTTTCGTAAAACTTCATTTTTTCAAAAATTGTGGTTAAAGTTAACGATAAATATTTTTTTGGACTTTTTCAAAAGGTTTTGAAATTAATTTTTTATAATTCAGTCATAAAAATGGCGTTTTTTGTAACTCCGGAAATAAGTAAAAAACTGCCTTTTCTTGAACAGAGCGTCATAAGAGCTCTTGTTCGTACGGAGTGCAAATAAGACTATTCCAGAGTACGAAAAAGAAAACCCAAGTGAAAAGGACAGAATGAGTTGACGTTTTTATTCAGAATAGTAGCATATACACTACTGAAACCTCGCGTCGAGCAGGCGTAGACATATTTTGTCTATTTAAAAAAATTGTCAAAAAACAAAATTTTTAAAATTTCAAAAAAATTTATAATTTTGTTTTTTGTTGTACAAAAAAGTGTCTCAATGAAAAGTTGCTTAATTGTGCTTAAAATTTAAGGAAAAAAATAAAGAAATATATTTATTTGAAAATTGTAAAAAATAGAAAATTTTGAAAATTTAAAAGTTTTGTATTTTTGTTGTTTTTCGACGAAATGAGCTGTCCAACGAACTTAGGCTTCATTTTTATGGAATATAAAAGTGCCCCAAATTGCAAATCGATTCATTTAAATTTATTCGAGTTATCGTGGAGACAAATTTTTCCATAGACAGATTACAGACAGACGGACAGACACTTCTCTAAAAACCACTTTTTTGAAATCAGGGGGTCATGAAACGTAAGGATTTACCAAAATTAGACATTGCTCAAAATCGCAAATTTAAAAATTTATAACTTTTTTGTTTTTTGTTGTACTGAAAAGTGTCTAAAGGAAAAGTTGTTTGTTTTTGCACCAAATTTAAGGAAAAAATAAAAAAAAATTTTTTTTTGAAAATTGCAAAAAATACAAAATTTTGTATTTTTGTTGTTTTTTGACGAAATGAGCTGGCCAACGAACTCAGGCTTCATTTTTATAGACTAAAAAAGTCCCCCAAATTGCAAATCAATTCATAAAAATTTATTCGAGTTATCGTGACGACAAAATTTACTACAGACAGACAGACACTTCTCTAAAAACCATTTTTTTGGAATCAGGGGGTCATGAAACGTAAAGATTTACCAAAATTAGACATTGCTCGGAATCGCACAAATCCAAGACTTTCTCATTTTTGATGAGAATGTAAAAAGCAAATTTTACGAAAAAATTTTAAAAAAGCAAAATTTTGGCATATTTTGAGTTCTTTTTTGTTCCTAATTTTGTATATTTACCTATATTTGGCATCTAAAAGAAAAAAAGGAAGGTTTCGATATGTTTTTCATGTTTTTTCATGTTTCGGCTAATGCTTCACTCACTATAAATCTCAATTTTTTGTACTTTTTTGGAAAAAAATTCCTTAAATTTGTGTAAGAGATGCAATTGTTGATTCTAATGTTATGAAAGGTGTATTAGCATAATATGAACTAATTTTTATTAACACGGCCCTAATAGGACAAATTTTGGACAAAAGGCCAAAAAAGCATTAAATAGCAAATTTTTAAAAAATTTAAAAATTCATAACTTTTTTGTTTTTTGTTGTACTGAAAAGTGTCTAAAGGAAAAGTTGTTTGTTTTTGCACCAAATTTAAGGAAAAAATAAAAAAAAATTTTTTTTTGAAAATTGCAAAAAATACAAAATTTTGTATTTTTGTTGTTTTTTGACGAAATGAGCTGGCCAACGAACTCAGGCTTCATTTTTATAGACTAAAAAAGTCCCCCAAATTGCAAATCAATTCATAAAAATTTATTCGAGTTATCGTGACGACAAAATTTTCTACAGACAGGCAGACAGACGGACAGACACTTCTCTAAAAACCATTTTTTTGGAATCAGGGGGTCATGAAATGTAAAGATTTACCGAAAATGTAAAAGATAGTGTAAGAAACTGAAAGAAACAAAAGCCATAGAAAAATTTTAAGCTTGTGAAGCATTTTTTGTAAATAATTTAAAATATCGCACACTTAATATGTATAATGCTTTAATATAATTAAGTAACTTTTCATTTTTTATAATTACAACTTCAATGCTTTACATGCATACTTTTTAAATTTTATCAAAAGTTACAGTGTTAAAATTGAAGAAGAAAATCGTAAAAAATTTGTTTTTTTATCGATTTTTTACTAAAAATAATATTTGAAAAGGAATAGATATAAGATTTTTTTTGCATTTAAATAACAAAAATTTTTTTTTGTTTTTGAACTATGTTTTCAGATATTAGTTGAAAATTTAGGTGCGATTCTCTTTTAAAACTTTTACAATGTTTTTTGAACAATAAGTTTAAAAAAATTAAATTTTGTAAACGTAAAATATTGATTTCTGAGTAAAAACAGTTTTTTGCTTTAAATGTTTGATGACAAACGTGAATTTTACTCATGTCATTTATAAGTGTTATTAAATAAAATTAAAGTATTACATGTTTTGTAATTTCTTATTGCACTGGAACCTCCGAAGAGCGGACGGCTATATTCTTGGACCGGTCTACGGAGATCGTCCTTGACGTTGAAAAGTGTAAACACTCCAGGGCCGTACAGTGAACTACACATATGCGGCTTTTGATTTAATATGAATACGCATAACACGCGTCGCAATAGGAACACTTAAAATAGACGCTACTGCTGAGACATTCTATTTTCTGTCTCCGCCCATCTCTTCCCCTTACCCTTTTTAAATAGCGCAAATAGTTCGTCCGCTCTTCGGAAGACCGCTCTTAGGAGATTCCAGTGTATGTCTATTCTTAAAACCTGGAAAAAATTTTATAAATTCTAGAAAACCTGGAATTGTCAGGGAAATTTTTTTTAGATTAGTTGTAGACACCCCCGGTAAGAAGCGAGGAATTGAAAAGAATTCAGAAGTTAATTTCTTTTGAATGGGCGAATTTCCAAAATAATCCAATTCCCCGGTGGAGCAAGGAAAAATAGCAAAATCTATTATTCTTAATTGACTTCACCAAAATATGAAACGCGCATTCAAAAGAATGAGAGAGTACAACAAATCTGTAGAAATTTCTATTCCACTGAATTGATTCGCTACCACTTAAGATTCCACTAGAAAGTGAGGTTAGGTTTCAAAACTTGACGTTAAAGATTGAACACTTGAAAATTTCTTT